TGTTGTTTTTCCTGGTATATGAAGTCTTCTTATTAGTGAGCCACTGGCCTGTATTTGAAATCCTAAAATCTTCAGTATTAGTTCTGCCAATTAAGTAAATGCAGAGTAGGGATGTCCCGATCACCTTTTTTTGCTCCCGATCCGATTCCGATCATTTGATTTTGACAATTTGCCGATACAGATTTTTCCCGATCCGATCTTTATGCAATGCATTAAGAGAAAAAAAAGAAAAAAAGCATTCAAGTTGTCCCTTAAGGTTATTTTTTTATTTAAATTGGATATTCTATCCAACATGGATATAGCTTCTTTCTTTCACAGCAGCATTGGATCAGTTCAGTTGTGCAGCATTGGATCAAAACAAAATAAAGCTTTCAGTACTCGTTAGCCTACTGCTACAATTAGACACTGCGCCCTGCCCACTCTGTTGCCAGATTTGAGAGAAATAAGCAACCAGGTCTATGAGAACAAGCCCCAAAGAAGCAACACATACATGATGTTCTGTAATTTGAAACCAAAACTAAGGCCTCAGGATGACTTTAAGACTTGAACATGGTCATTTTTGTTTTGTAACATTGAATACAAAATTTAAAAAAAATCCCGATCCCCGATTTTTTTTCTCCCGATTCCGATCTTTTGAAAATCACGTGATCGGCTCCGATCCCCGATCACGTGATCGGATCGGGACATCTCTAGGGGCAACCCTCGTCATTGGGCAGCTCTGACATGTGCAAATGTGTCTGTTGATTGTGTATATGTTAGTATATACATATTTGTACACATATTTTTATATATATTTGTATTTTGTATTCCCCGGGATTGTGGGTAACGGCATTTCGATCTCTCTGTCTGTACACACAGACTGAAAGATTGATAATCAAGTTGACTTTGACTTTGACTTTGACATGGCTGGCAGTTAGCTTGGTAGCTTCTCCAGACTAGAGGAATATGTTAGATGCACTGTCTGGCTCTTTTCTGTAACCAGCGCGGCCTTAAAGCATTGTGGAATTAGCAAGCAAGCTAGCTGTAACACTGCTAATACATGCCAATGGCAATGTGCTTCATACGTTGCGGCATTAGGTCTTTAATTTCCTTTTTTGTGGTCGCAGGGAGTGAGCTTCTTACTAAAGCTCACCTATTATACTGTCTTTGAACAATAGATTATCGGGCCATCTCTACGAAACATGTCTCTGAAGTGTTTTGCTCAAATAGCAAACAGATCCCCATTATAGCCTATTTCAGCCCTGATGCTAACGTGCTGATTCTGGCTCTAATGTCCTCACCCATGTTGGTGAGCGCCTCCTGCAGCTCCTGCCGGTACTGCAGCTTGAGTTTGGGCAGGTTGACCTGCATGGTTTTCTCCTGCGGTAACCGTCTGTAGAGGTCTGAGATGTTCAGTTTGGGAAGCAGTGACGACACGTTTCCTTTTCCAGACAAAGGCATGACGATCAGGAAGCTGGTGTTCCCTTTGAAGGGGAAACTGGCAACCTGCAGGAGAGGGGAGGGTTTCAAACCTCAATCAGAAGGACTTTCCAAAACTACACCTGTTGTGCACATGGCAATAAAGCCTCAGAATCTGCGCCTGTGGTCACCTGTGCCTCCAGCTGTTGGTCGTTGAGCAGACGCAGAGGGTACTGAGGAGACTTCATCATGTCCACCGACACCGTGTTGCTGTTGTCCAGGTAAAACGCTCCCTTAGAGGTCACCTGGGGGTCAAACTGTGTCTGCCATGCACCTGAGAAACACAACAGGGAGCAAGAAGGAGGCATTGGGCAATCAGAAATGTGTTTCTCTTGTGTGCGTCCCGGAAACCATCTGACGTTAACCGACTAGCATGAATGCAAAGTTCTATTGTTTCGTAAAGTCTAAGATTCAAGCTAGATTTGAAACGCCACAAATTATATCATGTTTTCTAACTATTTATGTATTTCTTAAGTACTTCAAAATATATCTTGAGGCACACTTTGGGGAAACATCTTCCTATATTCCTGATCACAAGACTCCTACTTTGCTTATTTATAAATGAGGTGGCCCTTCACACTGAGCATTGGACGTGTGTCCTGTTTGCTGATGATGTTTTCCCTTCAATATGCAACGAAGCAATGTGGTTTAAATCTGCAGTTATTAATCAAATGGAGTCTTTGGTTTGCTTTTAGCCAGCACTTAACCATTCATATGTAGGATTATTTGAAGCAGAATAGGGCCTATTAAAGCACATAAGTCATGAGACAAAAGTACGTTAAAATGTTTGGGACTTTCTACAAGGTGACCTGAAAGTCCTTCACCATTTCGACGGTTGAAGACGAACTGATTACGTGTTTTTTTTAATGATAGAACATTATTTCTGTCCTGACATGAATCACCGCGCTCTTTGGTGGGGGGGGGTTTACCTTTGAAGTAGACAGCGTTGATGAGCATGAGCACCACGCTGTGAGGAATACTCTCCATGAAGTTGTTGATCTGACCATTGGTGGCGTTCCCCACCCATTGGTTCACCTCCTCCACGGAGACCAGGGGCACCGGGGACGATTGGTACCTGAAGAATAAAACACATCTTTCATTTCAGAATAGGCATTAAAAACAGGTATGGATGAAAGAAAAACAACAGAACTAAAACTCCCATTGTCTTAAAAACACATTCTCTAATATCTTACAGGTAGATACTCGTCACGCTGCCATGTCTGTAGTTTCTCTTCACCTTCCTATACTTTTCTGCTGCTCAAGTATTTGAGTATATTTCAATACCTTTCCCAGAATGACCAGCAGCCGTCACTAGAGAGCTTATCCAACTGAGGGTCACATGACCTTATCCTTACGGTTGTTACCTGTTAACCCATTAAGGCCCACACACACCATGTTAACTACCATCAATCTAAAGACGTTTTTTAGGCCTTCAGCGTCGTTTAAGTTGTCTGAATTTGGTCCAAACTTTGAACTCTGAACTATTTTCATTCCTCAAGAGTATCTTTATACATCTAAAATGTGTACAGGATGTTAAAATGCATTGTCTTGTACTGGAAGTAAGTGTGTATTTGGCCTGACTGTAGTTGATACCTGGCCAGAGAGTCCTCAACAAAAGACAGCTCCACTTCAAACCCTGAGAGACGAAAGACAGAGAGTAGGGTTGAAACCAGTCAAACACTAAATCTCTTGCAGACCCTCCCCAGCTCCACACTCTTACCTGGTCTCAGGTACATGCGAGCGGCCACCTCCAGCGACGTGTTCCTGAAATGAGAAACGAGGGCTCCCAGGGTGTGATGGAAACACGGCAGCCCGGAGGCGTGGAGGCTCTCCAGGAGCAGCTTCTCTGTTTCATTGCGAGCACCTGAGAGAATGGAAAAGAAGGATGTAATAAAAAATCCCATTTCATTGCAGACTGCAGACCCATCCCGAGGCCCTTTCTATAAAGTACATTTTATTCGATGTTTCCATTCCAACGTTTTATAGGTTTTTTCCTTGGTTCGCGATACACCCTTCCACCAAATCTCCAGTAGTTGTTTCCATCCAGTGATTAAGACCAGCTCTAAAAGGTCATGGGTTTTTTCCTGACCAAATACTTTACCCTTCCACCAAGTTTCACGAAAATAAGGCCAGAATGTGTTCCATTACCATGCTCACAAACAAACCAACAACAACAAAACAGCAGTGTCCCTGGGTCTAAGCCTCACCCTTTCACCAAGTTTCAAAATAATCCAGATAGTAGTTTTTCCAGTAAGCCTTCTGACTAACAGACAAACTATCAAACAAAGATAAGATAATGCCTGTTTCTGCCCAAAGATCTGGATCCACTTTATGGGGCTTTACTCAGACCCTGCCTCACCCTAACACCAAGTTTCATGAACATGTGTCAAGTAGCTGTTTCCGTAAGCCAACAACCAGACAAGGAGGAAATAAAGGTCCAAACAGATGAGGAGGTGAACTCTGACCGACCTAAGGTGAGCTGAGCGAGGGCCAGGGCGAGGCTGAGGGGGGAGATGATGACGTTCGGCTGCTGGGGGCCGACAGGAAGTTGTTCCAGTATCTTCAGACCCAGTTGCTCGATGGCGCCCCCTATCGCCCTCCGGCTCTCAGGGCTGAACGCCTGGCTTCCTGTGCAGCTGACCTGCTCCTCCTCCGTCTCCTTCTCTTCAACCTCAGGGACATCAGGAGGGACAGTGCTGAGCTCCTGCTGAGGACAGGAGGACACACAGGGGTCACTTTCTACAGATGTTAATATTACCTGAAGGACAAACTGTACATAAACATGGTTCCTTGGAGGTTCTCCTTACAGTCAGTCCCAGACAGCAGAGGCAAAGCAGGAGAAGAAGAAGAACACACAGCTTCATGTCGAAACAAACCGCCTGCAAACAGAGAGAGAAATCCTAAATCAGAGCCCCTATGATCAGAAATAGTCAGTAAAGTCCTATTTATAATAACAATAACATGAGTCTTTCCAATGATGAGATTGAATAATATTACTTTTGTCCACTACATGGCTCCTAATGGACACTTGTTCTTAGGAAAGAGGAACCAAAGAACAAATTATACAACACATAATGAATGGCAAAGGTTCATCTCAAGGACTGACAGCCACATGAACCAGCGTCGAAAGATGTTTATATAATTATGGTTTCTGTACGTGAATTGAGATCAGCTGTTGTTCGTGAGTTGGCGCTTATTTGAAGAGAGTTTGAAGTAGATATAGTGAAACTGCTCAATCAAGTCAAAACAGGTTTTTTAGAACAATTTCCAAACTGGCAACACTGACCTGAAATCAAAGATACTCTCAAGGAAGCCATGAGGTATTTTATAACCGGAGAATATTGGGAATTTATTGGTAAATCGTCAAAATGCAGTCAATCAATCACACACAATAACATCCGAGCATGTTAGCATGTAACTTAGCATCCATCTCAACGGAAAATAAGATTGGTTTAGAAGTCCAAACCAAATGTTATGACGATCCAATCGTAACCAAGATATTTTAGTCTAGATCTAAGTCTTTAATCGACAGGTCCCGATTGTCCATTAACTACAATTGTTAAAATCAGGACTGTTGCCGTTGTGTCTCATGGTTCTACTTTCTGTCCGTGCTCCAGAGTAACTTGAGGTTTCGGAGGCGTCCGTGTGTTTACCTGCAGACTAAAGGTTACTGGCTGAGCTGCAACACACTGAATACACAGAACGCAGACTACACTGAAGTATATGAACTACACGACTCTATCAACACTGTGTACCAGATAAGGCTCAAACCACTATGTGAGCAACCCCCCCCCTTAATATCAGGACCCTCTCTTGCTCGGGGCAGTGATATTTAAAAGTGTTTCTGTGTATTGTGAGAAATAAACATCCAATACTACGATATGTGTAATTCTCGTGTGGGCCATTTTGCACAACGTCTACTTTGGGGTCAATACTTGTGTTAGTAAGATTCAGAATGCGTGGCTTACTTGAATTTCTACACTGTTGTATTACTATTTTTACTTTACGGAAAGATCTGAGTACTTCTTCCACCTCTCATTAAACCGTTTGTTCCAAATAATCTGTGTTACGAGGTAAATAAAGACCTTGGTGTATTGACCGGGGTCCTGTCACACTAAATAACTTCAAAAACTCTATATATAATGTGATTTTTCCCTTTTAATCTGCTGTTATTGATTTTTGAATTTCCCCGTCTTTCAGAGTGCCCAACCTAGGGTATGTAACAGTGGTTTGTAATATGTTGGTACAACTTGAAATCGCATGGGGCCCCTCAACTTCAAATGGTCTAAAAACACGACCGCAGCTTGGAGAACCTGTATCTGTAGATCTGTATTATCCCTCTCCTTTTGTTTGTTCATTATTTTGAGATTGCTGAAACTGATTGGCGGTTTCAATTCAGTTGTTTTAAAGATGATCCTTGTCCCCACATTTTTTTAATTTTTTTTTATACTTTACGTACAACTTTCTCTCTGGACAGATTCAAAATTAATTATCGTCCTTTTTCTTTAATTGTAAGGCGGTGCAGACTCACCTGGTCCGGTGTGCAATGTGGAGGCAGATCGGTGAGAAAGCAGAGTTGTTAAAAGGCGATGAAATTAAGAGTAAAGATATGTTGATCCGTCCCGAGGCTTCACAGCGTAGTGGCTCAACACTGCCCCCCCCCCACACACAGCCGGTTAATCATCAACATCAATGTGTGTATACTCTCTACAGCAGGGGCGTCCAAACTCTTTTCACCAGGGCCACATACAGAAAAATACACGAAGTCGGCAAAATCAATCAAATGTGGGGAAATTATGTTTCATCACATTTCTCCATCGGGTTTCAATGTTTTTGTTAGCAGCTCATTCCTTAAAACAGAAGCTTCAGATTGCTGATAATAAGAGCTAACAATGACATTATTGTTCTGTTAATATAAAGGGAGGTCAGGTACTCTTTAAAACAGCTGCTAGTTATGGGTACTTTTTACTGAAGTACATGTCAAAGCCTCTTTACTTTGACATGAGTACAGGATGTGTGTACTTCTACTTTCACCAGAGTACTTTAAACACGAGAATCTGTACTTCCACTTGAGTACAGGATGTGTGTACTTCTACTTGAGTACAGGATGTGTGTACTTCTACTTGAGTACAGGATGTGTGTACTTCTACTTGAGTACAGGATGTGTTCTCTTCACAGAT